GCGTCGAAAGCTGCGATTACAAAAAAAATGTAAGAAATTTATGGCATATTTTGATATAGTCCTACTACAAGCAAAAGGGCAAGCACAGCCATCAGACAAATTACACTGAACAATAGCGGAGAGTGAAAGTGCAACGAAGAAAAAAAAACGCTGAAACCAATTAACACCATCGCCATACCACGACGGTAAAACGGAGCGATGAAGGTTGAGATCAAGTTCCGAAGCGGTGTTCAGCTGTGTGGCAGAGCACTGACGTCCTTATTCCAGTAGTGTCAACAAAGAAAGCGATACATCCTAAAACTAAATCTTCTCGCGGACCACCCCAGCTCGCGCATGGAAGGGACTCTTAGGGTGATCGCTGCCAGCTATATGTACTTTATGGAGAGGCTACAAGAATGTCCTATGACTGTACATCATGGATATCCATCAACAGCCGAAATTCCTGCACTTTCTGAGGGACAGTGACAGTACTTTCTTCCCAACCTAATATGTACATGTGATGCTTTGATACAGTCCGGACTTGTATTATCTGAGAATCTGAATATGACATCCTTTGCGTCTATAACGAACAAAAGGCTTACAAGCACTTTGATCAATGAAAATGAAACAGCAGTATATTTGTCGGGCCAACTATACTGAGTGAGAACTCTCCCAGAAGAGAAGAAGAACAGCCAGAAAAAGTTGTCATTTGCTTGGTGACAGTCGCCTTTCCCTTCGTCGACTGTATGATCAGAGTCCAAAATTCTTTAGGCAGCTTGTTGACTTATCCTTTTTCACGCTATCGGAAATTAGCCGTTACACGTGGTCAGAGCTCATTTCATGCCATATTAAATGTTTGAATACTCGAATCCAATAGTTTCCTTGATAGCTTCCCCAACTAGAAGCGGAGAAGTGAAAAGGCACGCAAAATAAACATTTTAGACGAATCTTCTACGAATTCTAACTCAAGTTCAAATGCCAAAGTTCAGTTCGAACTCAAATGACTCCAGACATTAGCAATGCAGGGAGTGTCAGCGGATGTACGATCCTGCTTTGATTTCAGAAGCTTGGTCCTGAAGTGTTTTCTGGAATCCCTTCAGAACACACAAGCACATCTAGATAACATGAGCGAGAATAAGATGCAATAAAGACGTATGGTATGGTTATGACCCATAAGCAGAACGTATATGCAAAGTATAACCACCCACAGATTCATACTTGTTTCGCCGCAAGCTCCAACAACAGCCGCACCTAATGAAGGACTGCTTTACTTCTTATTGAGAACTGAAGAAAACGAAACCAATGACATTTGATACAGAGCATTTGATTGTCATATTTCTTCGTTTCTTTATATTGAAAACAATGTAGCGTTTCTGAGCATTTCACCAGCATTTGCCAGGGTTTCACTAGCGTACGCAAAAGGGGGCGCTAGCGTACGCTAGTGAAACCCTGGCAAATGCGAACGCTAATGAAACACTGGCCAACGCTAGATCAATATACAGGGGTGCCAAAAAAGAAGTCACTTTGCTTCACTGACTTTCGAAGCGCTATAAGCTACGCTTTATAAATTCCTATCGGACATTTCTACCACCATATTAAAGAGCATGTTAAAAACTATTATGACACTCCGCCACAGCCTTCTGGAGCGCCATCGAGAGATTCTGGCACGCAACCGCGATGTGGTCCCTGAGATCAGCGAGGTAGTCGATTTCTCCGCCACCGTAGACCACCCTATTGAACATTCAGGTCAGGTGACCTACTTGGATATTCCATCTTCTTTAGGTACTCAGCCCCCCTCCATTCCAGGTAGGCGAGAGTTTCTCCAACGCCCTTCGATTCCACGTGGTGGCACCCAATGCTGTAGCAGTACAAAGTTTCCAAGAAGGTACGGGCGACGGCATGTGGGGAAGATATTCTTCTTAAGTTGGTCGATGTAACCGCCAGCGCTCAGCTTCAGCCCGCGGTCCACGAAGAAAATATTGGCCTTTCCATTCCAGGTGCGTCCGGTTCATACCATCAACCCGCGCCTTGGCGACTGCCGTGAAGATGATGTCCTAGACCGTAGCGACGTTGTCGGAGCTGCTCGATGTTGGAGGTCTTCCAGATCGAGAGTACCTTTCCAGGCAACTATCCATGGGTGACCCCATATTAGAATCTTCGCAGCTGTTTGGAATTCATAGACATAAATTCCAAAGGTCTTCTCCAGTCAGGCTGCGTCTGGAGATGACCTCATATTTTGGTGTACATGAAGGTGATGGGCGAGGGCCAGCTCCTGCTTATCGAGGAACATCTTGGGTATCGTCCGCCCCGGTACTCGTATCCACGTCTTCTCTCTGGGCTGCGAAAACTTTGCTGATATGTGACTCGGTCGAAGTGACTTTTTTTAGCCCCCCTCCTGTGTATACTTTCCTAGTCACTGACACTGCAAACGCTAGCGTACGCTGGCGTAACTGATCCAGATGATTTCTCATTGACGAATGGCTGTGTTGTGGTTATTACAGCAGGCTGCCTGACTGCTGATAAAGACAAAGTCGATCTGAGCCCAGACGACGCCATTACATTGATTCAGAAATGGGACTAACATTATCAGCAGGTAGTCACAACGGGGCAAATCATGGGTTTGAGATTTTGGTCTATCTCGTACGAACCTCCCCCCTCTAGAAGGGGCTCAGTGCGACCCTTCTTTTCATGGTTTGCTGAAAAAAAACAATGCGTTTAGGATCCAGCAGATGCCACGAGAATGAATTATTTTCGAGCGCGCGCGAATATGAATACCCGGACCACTTCCTCCGATCATGTTGAGGCACAGTTGACGGGACACCCTCAAGGCACTTTTCAGGACCATACATTTCGCGAAAAAAGTCTGCTGAGGAACCAAGTTTCGGAAAGTTACACTTTTACCCCCACGAAAAACACTAAACTGTACATACACGTGGTCTGATGTCGAGAAAAATGCAGTGTTGGGGATTCGTTGAGGATTTCCAAAACTCGATGCTAGTTTTCCTGCTTCCAACGACGGTAATTTTCCTCAAGGACTGTTGTTTGCAATAACGAGAGCGACTCCGAAAGAAGATTTCCTCTTTTCAGAGATCACTTAACTTCCTTTCGAAGTCCCGGGTTTATGAGATAAATTCGTTAGGAATTTAGTGTTGAAAACTTAGAGGCACGCAAGAAACCCATCTCCTGTGTGCCGTTTCAAGAGGTAGTCGCGTGCCCAAGAATGCATGTAGAACGGGCCTCCTGTGGATCAGAATTCATCTTTGGATGCGCCATGCATTAGGTTCCACGCAAAGGTAGTGGGATGGTGCTTCTTTATGTCTGTCCGCGCAAGCAGATGTGCTCACAGTGTTCAGAGTCTATGGCTCGCCGCACTTGTTCAATTGCACTGTTTTGTCCTCTACGCATATGCGAACTTATGTCAACCTACTAATACCATTACTTAATCATTTTGAATTTTTCGCAGCGTTGTCTCATACATCCGTACTCTCTACACAGCATGTTTCGTTACTCAGGACTTAGCTATACTGGCACATCTGTCCGGTACTAACCATAACTGCCCCTCTAATCATGAGTTTCCCTTTCAATGGCCAAGTACAACCCCACCCTCTCCCCTACTGGGGAATAACTAATGGATAGATGACCATGTGGACAATGTAGAAGAGGCTTTGTTAGGTGCAGAGAGTCAGAAAAGTGGAAGTTAGGATTATAATGCATAGACAGTCACCGACTTAATAGACATAACGGTCCGCTGCGAGTTCTTTAAATGGAGAGAGACCTAGGAGACAACGAATAGGACAACTGAAGGCTGACTATGTACTCGTGAGAAGGCCGTTTAAGGGTATCATGATAGATGCTAGCGGATGGGTGACTGGCTTCTCGGTAAGGAATTCCCTAGGAGACATTGCCATTGACTCTTACACAAAAACAAGGGTGGAAAACGNTTAGAGAATGAGTAGTTAAACCGAGTGCAAAAGAAGTATTGGGGAAGATGTGAGCTGAAAACCAGGAAGAAATAAGATAGCGCAGTTCTGGACCGCACCTTCTGCTTGATTCGTTGAACAAAAATCAATAAGTCGAGCAGAAGGACGCATATAAGCTTTTGCAGAGAGCACGGATGTCATAAACATTCAAAACGCGGGTTGTTCAAAGAAGTGACTGAAATCCATGATTCGAAAAAAAGCATAGCATTGAATTCTGACATTGTTAAATAGCTCTCACTCCGGAATCCCTTCATGCAAATTTGTTAAGTGGTCATGAATAAGGCTTTTTTGAACTCTTCATTGATGTCCCAATTTCAATTCCAAAATTTTCATTTTGTTCTGTGAAGTACCTTTAAGAGACTGCTGTCACAACCGACGCACTCTCCAGTGGCTCAAACAGTTATATTTTGCAGCATTTTCTCTTGCTTCTCCAATGGGCGAAACTAAGACAGACAAGAAACAAACCTGACAAACGAGAGATTCGCGTAAACTTTTCTATTTCAGTGTGTATTGAGCAGGGAGGCTGGAGAAACAGTTCGGAATATAGACTAAACATTTGGCCGCGGAACTCTAAAAGAATGTGTTGCGCAGCAGTGGTTCAAAAAATTCCGCGCTGACGACGACAGCCTAGAAGATTTGCGTGGTGGCCGCCATTGGATCTTAACAGCGCAGTTGAGAACATTACTCAAAGAGGATCTGCGTACTACGTTGAAAGGTATCACCTCGGGTCGAATGTTTCAAGCAAGACGTCTTGCACCCTCATGCAAGAGATCGGAAACCCGAAGAAGTTTGGTAGAGGGGTATGCAAAAAGCGAACCGATCAAAGGCTCGTTCCGATATCTCTTCCTCGCTCCATTTACGCAAGAGAAACAATTCATTTCTGGATCGCATCGTGACGTGCGATGAGAAATAATTCTGCACCACAATCGGGATGATCGGGTTAGTGGTCGGACGAGATTCGTGCTCTTCAACATTTCCATAGAACGAAGCAGCACCGAAAGAAAGTTATGGTGATAATTTGTGGTTTCCAACTGACCTGATTCACCATAGTTTGAAGAGTTCGGGAGAAACTGTACACAGTTGAGAAGCATTCTGAAGAGACTGATAAAATTTTACCAATTTCTTATTCCCGGCACAGCCGACAGGAGGGGCCGATCCTAATCCTCGTGACGTTCGGCCCTACTTCCACAAGTTACACTGAGGAAATTAAACGTTAAGTTGAGAAACTTTCTATATTCACCAAGTCTGGTCCCAGCGGTCACCACTTCTCCGAATCATCTTCTTCAGTTAATGATGCTGTAGAACCCAACAAACAGATGTGCAGCGGCATTCACCGATTTCATCGCCTATAGATCTCTGGGCTTCCGTGCGCAGCGGAGTATACGACCTCCTTTCTTGGTGGCAGAAGTATGTTGATGGTACAAGTTGCTATTTCGACTAACAAAAGTTTATTTAAGCCGTGACGTGCGCATTTTAAAGGTGAGGTTGGGAAGCGCAGAGACTTTCTTCAGAGCCCAATAGAAACACATACACGTGGCAGGTGAGTAATGCAGAGAACAAATGCGATTTCACTTACTTGAATAATCCGTGAGAAGTTCTCTGCCAATATTTTAGTCTCGCTCTCCGCCGAGTCGATGTAGTTTTCCAAATGTTCTTGAATCACCTCCGCCTCATTTATTTCAGCCAGCTTGTGAATAAGATCAGCGAAAACTTTCTGCTGAAACGTGTAATGCTAACTTAAAACTCATTATTCGCAGCTTAAAATTCGTTATTCGCAGAATATTCGAGAAGAATGCAAACATTCATGCTCCAAACGAGGAGGGTGTCTTACTTCAGCGAGCTTTCTTTTCATTGCCTCCACTATGCGGCTCTGCGTCATGAACTGATGCTCCAAGTGCGAGTTATATTCCTTCAGCTGTGATGACTGAAAAAAGCTGAATACGAGAATTAATGCTAGGGAGCAGAACATGGAAGAGCTCAAGAAAGTAGGGTAGGTAAATGACTTTGTGTAGGGATAATTGTACCTCCTGCCACAGAAAATCCTCGGCATCATTATGCAAGTGGTTCAGTGGCATTTACCAATTTTTTTGAAAACTACTAAGCAACATGAACTGTGATGGTTAGGCGAATGTAGACGCTCAATGTTCCGACATTGCTGAAAATCTAGTTTGCAGTGCAGCTATGTAGAGGGCGGCCCACCACGTGGGTGGTCAGGCGCTGTAGCGCGACACCTCCTCCCACGCCAGTAAACAAGCTACAAAAGCCAAGGTTGAATTTAGGTATGGATTGAGAAATACGAAGTGATTCTGAGTAGCATATCGAATGGTCACACAAGTGGGTAGAATATGAAATATCAGGCTTCTATGTAGGAGTTTATATTGTTTGCTGTTCTTGAAGAAAGTGGATTGTTGGCGTTGATTGATGAGTAAAACGGGGTTGTTGTTTGGATTGTCTTAATAGAGACGAGGGTGGTGGTTGCGAGGTGACAATTATGGTTGGTTTTGTAGTAGCATCGATTCTTTCTATTCTCTGAAGAAGGGGACTTTCCTTGGTAGGACACAACAAAGCGTTGTGAGGCTGGCGACGAATTCCTCTTATCGTTTGCACATGGCTTCATGTGCCTGCAAGCATTGACCACAGAGTACCACCTTCTCACTTGAAAAGTACGCGTGTAGATGTTTGGGGAGCGTGGGCAATGCCCGCTTGGAAACGAATCCACCTCTAGTCCTAGTCTGCAAAAAAATCAAGTCTAATATGGAGTCGAACGTTCGACCAGCTTTTTTAAAGCAGCCTTCAAGTTATTCAGTTGCTCTAGCGAAGGTAGAATGGACATAGTATGTCTATGATGGTTACGAACTGCTCTTATGATCATCGTCTCGAGCCCCGTCTACAGATGATCGTCGCCAAGCAGACGTTCGTACAGAGCCATTTTTGGCTACTCGACACCCTTATCAGGCTTTGTACGAACACCTCATTGTTGAAAGTTTTTATGTGCAGTCACTGCACACAGTAGCTCAGATCACTGTCACATAGGAGTATAGCGTTATTTGTTCAAAAGAATAATAGAATTACAAAACTATATGTCTGCTCGTTTATGCATAAGAAACTCTTCTGATTCTTTATGTGCGACGTTTGGGGTCTTATGCCCGTCTTCAGTTCTACAAAAACAATGCATCGCGATGCAACAGCATTGAGAGCTCAAGAACACATTGAAGCATAGAAAACGATAGATTATTAAGAAACGGCGAGGTAGATACTGAACCGATGGAAGGAGGGTTCTGCCGCGAATATTCACGCCCAGCCTCGGTTGATCGTATGCTGTATAAGAACTTGCTTGTTTCTGCGAAGACGTGATGTAACACCTGGCCATTCAATATATAAGAGGCCCGGATTTCTTTGGAGTTATACAGGCTGATAAAGATTGCCACTAAACCGTCGTAACAGTTTCGGTGCATCGGCCAAATACTCTTACACTCACGAGAGAGAGATCTGGTCTGTAGATCAGTAAGTCAGAACTTCTCATATCGAAGCGACCCGCTGATGGCTCCCTTCGATTCAAAACGACGGAAGCCATTACGTATGGTAAGCCCATACTAAAAAGCGTTGAACCGCTCAAGTCGTTGATCGCCAATTTCCAAAACATGCGCAGTCTTAGAAATACTGGTCAGACGACTACATCCAGTACGAAAAGTCACTCAACGCGGTCGATCTAATCGGAGGTACATAAAGCAGATTGAATGCGCAAGAGATAATTTGCAGTCGCTCATATACAAAATGAAAGCCGGTAGTGATAATATGTAAAGCAAAGCCCCTTCAAGATCTTGAGAGACTTGAAAACTAACAAAAGCTTATAGTCGTGATAAGCGAAGAAACGGAGCTCTTGTATATGCTGGGAACACGAATCACAGAAGCTCCCAGCAACAAAAACAGACTTGCCCGCAAGTTAAACTATCCTAGGGCACAAAGCGCACATGAGGACCCTAGAACGGAAACTGCCATTGCTTAGGAAAGCAACATATCGGATAACGAAGCCCATAGACTAGTGGCAGTTTCGTCTATACCACCAGAGAAAATGAATCTTGCAAAGTTCTACGGCAACGAAGAGGAATTTCCCGAATTTGGGCAGCATACCAAACCGTCATTCACGACAACCCGTCATTGTCAGTCATCGCGGAAATGTTGCATCTGAAAGACAGTATACGCGGACGATCAGACAAAGCGATCAAGGGTATCCAACTTCTGCCCCAACATTGTGACTGGATAAAACAAGCATTTAAAAAGAAGTATGGGAACGAGCCCGCCAATAGGTCCCGCATTGCCTTCAAATTCGCGCTCTCCGACATGCGGACGAAAGCGCAAAGAGCAGCGAGTCTGTTCACGATAGGATATCCATGTTGCTCAATCGAGTGGTATCCGCAGGGACAAGAGCTCCGCATCACTACAGATAGAATGTGGACCGAACTGATTTAAGCAAGTTCCATCAAAATATTGTTGAACCGTGCTTGTCAAAATGAGAGAAAATAAAGATGCTTCAGTGGAAAGCATCATGCAAATGATTGAAACAAAGATAAGAGCTAAGTAGTATAATCAGTCCCGAATGCAGCCTATTATCACCTGTGTATCACCTGTGCTCCCGTTGATCATCGAGTTCCTCGAGCGGGCGCCAGTAACGTCTCCATTCGTCCCTGCAACGTGCAAGAGTTGCCCAATAAACTCTCTCAGCTCGAGATACACGATGAACTTCATACCATTCGTTCAGAGCTTTCATGAAGAAATCTGACCATCGCGTAGGCGGTCTTCCAGGCGTTCGCTTGACATCCCGTGGAATCCAGTCGGTGTTTGCTCTTGTCCAGCGGTCGTCCTCGAAACGCATGACGTGTCCGGCCCACCTGATCTTCGAAACCTTGGCAAATGCGGCGGCGTCTCTGATCTTCGATCGTTGGCGGAGTGCGGAGCTCCGGATTCCCTCTCTCACTTGCGTGTAGCGGAAAACTCCGAGCATCGCCCTTTCGATGGCGCGCTGAATAACACCGACCGCATGCTCATCCTGCTTTCGTAGAGTCCAAGTCTCTGAGGCGTACGTCAAGGCAGGAAGGACCGCGGAATCGAAGAGGTGGGCACGGAGCTTGGTGTTCCTCGTCTTCTTCGCTACTCCCTCGATGTTCTTGAGGCTCCCTAAGCCGCTCGCTTCCTCCTGCTCAGCTCTGGAGCTAGGTCATTCATCGTATTGATTTCACGACCTAGGTACACATAGCTTGAGCATTCAGAGATGGTCGTTCCGTTGAGCGTGAATGGGGCATCAGATACCAGTCCGTTTCTCATGAACATCGTCTTCGTTAGGTTCAGCCGTAGACCGATTCTTCCACACGCACAGTCTAATTCTCCCAGCATTCTTTCCGCTTGCTGGATGTTTGGTGTTATCAAAACGATTTCGTCGGCAAAGCGGAGATGGTGCAGTTGCCGACCGTCGACCTTCACTCCCATGTCTTCCCATTCCAGTTGGCGCATGACGTTCTCGAGAGAGCGGCTGAGGAACTTGGCGCGAGATGGTGTGCGCCCTGTCGGACCCCTCTCTTCACATCAATGATGATCTCCTTGTAGAATGGTGAAATCTTGGTCGTGAAGTTGCTGTAAAGCTCACGAAGAATCCTGATGTATTGAGTAGGAATACCCTGGTTGCCAGGGCTTCGATAACCGCTTCTGTCTCGACGGAGTCGAAGGCTTTCTTCAAGTCGATGAACGTGAGACACAACGGCATCTTGTACTCTGCGATACTTCAATGAGCTTCGTTACCGTGGATGTGATCGATCGTGGCTGAATCCTCTTCGAAACCCTGCTTGCTCGCATGGCTTCCTTCGTCTAGTGTTCTGCCAATCCTATTCAGGATGACTCGTGTGGCGAAACTTCTAGTATGGAGTCACCCATGGGAAGCTACCTGGAGACCAGTACTCTCGATCTGGAAGACCTCCAACATCGAGCGGCTCCGACAACGTCGCGCTACGGTCTAAGACATCATCTTCACGGCAGTCACCAAGGCGCGGGTTAATGGTATGGACTGGACGTACCTGAAATGGAAAGACCAATATTTTCTTCGTGAACCCCGGACTGAAGGTGAGCGCTGGCGATTACATCAAGCAACTCGAGGAAAATATCCTCCCTACATTTCGAGGCCCGTACCTTCTTGGAAACTTTAAACTGCTACAGGATTGGGCAACACCACGTGGATTCCAAGGGCGTTGGAAGAACTCTCGCCCACTTGGAATAGAAGGACGTTGAGTACCTGAAGAAGATGGAATATCTAAGTAGGTCACCTGGACCAAGCCCCCTAAATTACCCGGTTCGGGCGGAGCTCAACAGGGCGGAGCTCAACAGGGTGGTCTACAGTGGCGGAGAAATCAGCTATCTCGCTGACTCAGGTACCCACTCACGGTCGCGTGGCGGAATCTCTCGATGGCGCTCCTCCAGAAAGCTGTGGCGAAGTATCATAATGGTATTTAATATGCTCTTAAATATGGTGGTAGAAATGTCCAACCAGAATTTGATAAAGTGTAGCCTATAGCGCCTCGAAAGTCAAGGAAGAAAAGTGACTTTTTTTGCCCCCTCCCCCTGTATATTCGTAATACGCCAGATAACCCTAGAATGCCAGTTTATATCAGTTAAAATCGGCGCCGCCATCATTCCTGCGCCGAAGACAGCTCATGCCAAAAAGGGTGGTGTATTGGTAATCAGGGCGTCAAATAACCCATTTCGCTAAAAGAGGCGTTCGCGCCAAGTTGTCGCCATGCCGAAATTTGCCTTACTGGTCAACAGCAGGACCAAGCATCACGTCGCGGGAAATTGGTAGTTGGCGGACCCCCCCTAGAAAGGGGTGTCCGTACGACCCCCCCCCCCTTTTTTTTAGTGAATGGGAGATATCTGCTGTGTCCATCAGGATGCGGTTGTATATGTTTGTGTTACGCGAATGTTACATTGATTATCTGAGTATCTCGGAACATTTACCAGACCAATCGAATAAAAACACTGAAAACCGAAGAGATTAGTTTCTGAGAATCAGTGTAAAGCGCAGTGTGAGACTTCGGAACCTTACAATGACGCCATCTAAACGGAACAACACAAAGCCGAGACGTTGAGCACTCAGAGCTTATTGAGATTAGAGCGCTATCGGCCAATGCATTCCCACAGCATTTTTAAAAAAAAGGTATAACTTCATTCAGAAACCACCTTTCGCAGAGCAGTAAGGACATTTGGAGTTGTATGTCCAGGTTCTATACGAAATACACTACAGGTTTCTTCGAGATTGCATGACGGCTTCTGGCCAGAAAATAACGCGGAGAATATAGGACGAGTGCAAATCCTTCATCTTTCAGTGGAAATAACTTCGTTCAAACGTAACGTAGAATGGAGGCATACACGTCATTGGGAACTAGAAGGTTCTCTCTTTTGAATGAGGGACAACCCAAGCAATACAGCACAACAGCTTCGCTGCAGCTCAATTAATTACAGCAAAGTTCACCGTCGAGCGTTCCCATTTGAAAGTCAGCTTCAGCAGCAGCATGAGGATCTTTCCAGCCCAAATTTCCATCCAAAAATCTTCAGACCTCCTGTACTCCTGATACGTGTATGGCCATACGTACGTATCTGTTCTATGCCCACGTATAGGGCATATTAGGTTGTTGCATAATTTCTTATACACGACTTTTTTGTAAATATCTCAAAAACGAACCAGCCTGGAGATTAGAGGTATGCACCATAACCATTCACTGCTCGACCAGCGCTCAGGCAGCTTGTGGATTCCATCCCTCCAGATTGACGGAGGCTGGGACTTGAAGAAGTCGTCGAGCGCCTTTCTGACCTGATCCTTTGTTTCAAACTTTTTTCCGTCCAGATAGCGCTGCAGGTGGCTGAACAGCCAGTAGTCAGAAGGAGCGAGGTCAGGGCTGTAGGGAGGGTGGGCGACCATCAGCCATACGTACTTCTCCAGCTCGGCCTGGGTAGCCTTTGCGGTGTGAGGTCAGGCGTTCTCATGGTGGAAGTAGATTTCCGCAATCGATCCACGAGTGCGATCGACGTGATCTTTCAATTTCCGCAGCTGGGTAACGTATGTGTAAGCGTCAGTCGTCTGTCCCTTCTCTAGCAGCTCCCAGTACTCCATGCCTCTTCTGGACCACCAACAGGACCGGGGAACCTTTTTGGGTTGAAGGTCGGCCTTTGGGGTGGCTTCTGGCTGTTCTCTCTTTGTCGACCACACGGTCCGGCTTCCTCACAGAGAGTTTCGTAGAGGACCCACTTCTCATCTCCACTGATCATCGAGTTGAGAAAATGACGCCTCTTTTGGAAAGTGAGGAGAGAAGTGCAGGTGGTCACCCTCCTCGAGAGTCATAAGCGGACAGTTCATGTGGGACCCATCGACCAACTTTGCTACCTTGCCGAGCTTTCTAGTCCACGTGCAACCGTCGAATGATCATAGCTAAGCATGATCGCCATTCCTCTGGTGGTGAGGTACGGGTCCTCCTCCACGCTGGAACGTAGTACTTCCAAATCCAACTCCATCGGCCGACCCGACCTCGGAGCATCTTCGAGTGAAAAGTCTCCTTTCTCGAATTTGGCGAACCAATTCTTGCATGTCATGTAAGAGATGACGTCCTCACCGTGTGTATCCACCAGCTTGGTATGGGCTTCCTTTGCATTCCAGCCGAAATCGTGGAGCAAAACCAAACAGTGGTGCAGGTAGGTTTTGTCACAGTGCAAATTGTGCGACATTGTGTACTGCAAATGCAAGCTCGGTGAGTGATAGCTAGTGTAATGAAAGAGTATAATGTACACGTCACGCACACGTGATGACGTAACACCAACATCCATGCGAACGAAAGAGGAGAGGATCAAACGTGTATAAGAACTTATGCAACAACCTAATGAAACTGCAGCAGAAAGGAGCTGTTCAACACCACCATGGAATGCGCTATGTAATCGACTTCCTGCCCGAATGCGTCACTCATCCTGCAAGCT